CCTTGGATATCATCATTGAAGGTACAATATTTTTCTCTGTATTTTCTCAAGAACCTGAATGCATTATGGTTTCCAAAGTCTTCAAACTGAATAAGCGTGTTCCGGTCATATCTGTCGGTAATAGCTTTCATGAACTCATCAATCAGATCATCGTAACGCTGTGAGCGGTCTCTTTTCTGATACAAGCCCAAGTAAAATGGATCTTTTAAGAGTGCCTGTAACGGAAATCAAATGTAAAAGAACATGTTTCTATTCAATAACCAGACAAAATATGCTCTATAAAAGAAAAGCTACAGAATGGGGAAAAACTCACAACAAACCAACCCCAATTATTAAAGTTTAACCTTTAACGTCCTTAACTATTTTTAGAGCAGTTTTAAAATGAGGCAGAAAGGAGACCATTCTTACATGCCCCTTTCCAACCCTACACACTCTTCTAGGACTAACCTCTTGTGTTCCTGTGGAATATTTACTGCAACGATGACCCAATACTGATGTATTAAATAAGATCCACAGTTCAACTGAAGGTTCATCTTTGTAGTGTACACATCTACGAGGGTTTTGACAAATGCATGCACTATTCTAATATACAGCTGAATAATTCCAGTGCCTAAAAACATCCTATGCTCCGCCCAGTCACCCCTTTCCTCTCCCCCTGCAATCTTTTCACTCTCAAGTTTTTCCTCTCCAGAATGTCACACAGGTTAGAATCACCACCATGTAGGTTTTTCAAAGTGGTTTCTTTCATTTAAGATTCTTTTGTAACTTTTCACAATTGGTAGTTCATTTCATTTTACTGCTGAGTAATATTCCCCCATGTGAATATACCCCAGTTTATCTTTTCACTGAGACGCATCTGTTTTTGGCAGTCATGAATAAAGCTGCTAGGATCATTCAGTAGCTTTAAACCCTCAGTAGGCGCTCTGGTGGCCGAGTGGCTATGAAATTGCACTGCCAACCCCTAGGCTGGCAGTCTGAATCTCCTGGTAGCTCCCTGGGACAAATATGCACATCTTCTCCTGTGCAATTTCTAGCCTCTGAAACCTGATGGAAGGTCAGCTGTGAGTCTGTTCCAACTTGACGGCAATGAGAGTTTGACTACACACATTCACGCGATGGTTCTTCTGTGGATGAAAGTTATCAAATCAGTTGAATGAAGGCATTGTAGCACAACCCTTTGATCCATGGTAAGGTTACGTTGGTGGTGGCTGTTATGTGCCTTTGAGTCAGAACCAACTCACGGCTGACTCTCCAGCAAGTTTTCAAAGACTGTTAATCTCACGGGAGGAATCTGTCCATCTTTCTCCTCCGGAACAGCTGGTGGATTTGCTCACCATATTTGGTGGCAGTGCAACTACTTTTCCATTAGGCTCTTAGAGAGCAGGTTATGTTCAGAATTATGAAAAGTTGCCAAACTGCCTTCCAAGGCATCTGTTTCTGTATATTTACCACACAGTGAACAGGAGGGGTTCCTGCTGCTCCAAATAATGAATCACCAGAATTCAGGGGTGCAAAGGTCGGGGGTGCTAAGTAAGCAATCCTCTAATGACACTGATTGCAAGTCAATGAGTTCAATGGCAACTAACAGCAATCATGACATAAGAGGTAGAGAATCTTTTCATTTGCCATCTGTGTATCTTCTTTTGTGAGGTGCCTCTTCAGATCATCTGCCCATTATGTAATTGTGTCGCTTTGTTACTGTTGGTAACAAACTACTACAGTAGTTTGTTATGTATTCTAAGCATAAGTCCTTAGTTAGATAGATATGTGCTTTATAAAGATTTTCTCCCAGTCTGTGGCTTATATTTTTTCACTGTCTTAATAGGAGATATTGTAAGCTTTAATAAAGTCCAATTTATCCATTTCTGCTTCATGAGAAGTGGTGTGTAGCTCAAGTGTCATGCCCCAAACTCAGGGTCTCAGCTACATTTTTCCTTATGCATCTTCCAGGAGGTGTATAGTTCTGTGTCTTCCACGTAGGCCTATGATCCGTTGGAGGGAATTCTTATAAAAGATGAAAGCTCTGTGTCTAGACTTACAGGCTCAAGATACTATTATTTGTAGGAAATTAAAAACAGAGTTTTGAAGAAAAAGGCTATAAAATTAAAACATCAAATTTTCTTTTTATATGATCACAATGAAGAAAAACAGAACAGATTGTTTTGAACACAATAAGGAGGAAGAGCAGAGGTAAACAAGCCTAATACTCACTGGATTGTCGGTTCCCACGTCAATACACACAGGCAAGCATTTGTCCGGCCGTATCCCCGCACAGGCTGTGTACAGACAGAGTTTTCCTACTGGAATTCCCATTCCATAGACTCCCAGGTCACCCAGACCCAGGATTCTTTCTCCATCGGTCACCACCACCGCCTTGGAGAACAACAACAACCGGGAAACGCAAATTAGAAATGGCCAAAGATGGGTCACTAGAGAAAAGCATTTCAAGGACAGACTGCATCTCTTTAAATTCTTTCACGCTCACTTTGAAAAATAAAATCATTCTTGGCTAACTAACTTCCAAAGTAAACCAACCAGTCATACTTCACATTAAAATAATTAACTGGATTTTAATTTCCTCTAACTTTGGTTAGACTGCGTCTGACTGGAGAAGCAGCATAAATATCATTAGAAAAACGAAATATGGAAGAAGTGAATAAACTTCCGGTAAAGAGATTTCAACACACTATTCCAAACCACTGAAGTGATGCCAAATAAACAAAAACTTTAAAAGCAAAGAAAGGGAAAACACGGTCTAGAATTAAAAAAACATACCTACCTACAGGTTTTAAGATGATACTGTGAGTTTCAATTCTTTCTCTCTATTATTAAACTAATGATTATTCACTAATGATTATTACTGTGGTCAGGAAATATACATATATAATAAAAGTACAATAGATTATTGTTTGTAATAAATATAAAAGTCTACTAAACAACCTTAAAAAGAAATTAATAGTTTTTCTTTATGAAAGGCAGCCACACTGGCCAAGGTTTATAGCGGCCAAATTGAAAACTCAGAGTTTTATACTTGCTAAGAATCTATATTGACCTTCCATGTAGGGAGAGAAAATAAAAAAGGCATAATCAAGCCTCTCGAGCACCCACCAGAAAAGAACTTTTTACATTACTGTAAAACATTCTCTCTACCTAGGATAACAGGGGTTGAAACAAAACAGGGAAATGGAAAAATGCTGTCAGTGGAACTGACAGCAGGCAGGCTCCAATTTCTGTCTCAAACTCTACACCAGTTACTATTTCACCACTGTGACTACCGTGATCTCCTCAAATACAAGGCACGAACTTTGCATTTATTCAAGTGCACAATCAGTCAGACCAATATCGCACACTGTCCTCGGAAATCTAACGGCAACTTACAAGGAAAGAAAAAACATTGTGAGAAGGAGGGTTGTGCTATTAGTACCTTAACATCATTTTCTGGCCAGTTATCCACAATTGATTTAATATGGCCTCTGTCTGAGATTGAAATAAATAATCCCCTGCAACAGAACAAAAACACCTTTGCATTTCACAACAGTTTTTGGTTCGTCTCTAAGTTTCTGTTTGTAACTGGAATATCTAGGTATTTTAATAAAACATCAAGACATGGTATCATTTCCAAGCAGATTTAGTTAAGTCCTACTGGTTTATGTTCAACTACTCTAAACTGTCATTATGTTGCTCACAGAGCAGCTGCAACAAAGATAATTGTTAAGTGATGTGATCATTTTACTCAAGAATAAACGCATTTAGCATCTCATATTCACATAAGTTTACTATACTTCCAGTAAAAAAAAAAAATCTCAAGATCAATTGCTAGGGCAGGGAAGCATAATTAAAGTTGAGCACACTACAGTTAAAATTCAACCAAACTCAAAATAGGAAATTTGAAGGAATGGAAGGAAGAAAACGAAAGTAAATTTCTACAAAGGATGTTACACTCGGAGTATTGGTGGGGGAGGGGGACACAGTTCAAATTCATATTACTATCCAAATGAGATTTAAAATAAAAAAGGGAACATGGCATCTAGAGAGGAAGTCAGGCAGAGGTGAAGCTAGATTCTCTGGTTTCACTTTCTCACTGGGATCTTAACTTTGGCATTACTATTTGAGCTCACATCAGTTCAGCCCAGCAGTTTCTTAACCATGGCTGCGAATGAAAAATCATCTCATAAGCTTCTGAAAAATACCAAGATGCCCAGGGTCCCACATCCAGAGATTCTCATTTCTAGCTTCAGTCCATTATGGTTGCTGAAGCTATCTGTCCATGATCTCAGTCTTTTAAACTTGACCAAGATTTGCTGTGAGACTTAACCTAACAAATGGTCTCAGCTGGAGAATAAGCCATGTGCACTGGAGAAGAATGTGCACTCTGCGGGTGCTGGCCGGGGAGAGACATTGATCCATCCGTCTGCTAGGTTTGGCTGGCTTATCGCATTGTTCAGATCTTCTAACTGCTGGCCTTTTTTCCTAGATATTCTAGCCACTACTATCAAAGTGGCAGAATGAAGAAGCCAACCTACAGAGCCTTTTTTCTCTTTAATTGTCAGTGTCTGCTTTATGTATTTTGGGGTTCTAATTGGGGGCATAAGGAGTTGTGCTACCAACTCAAAGACAGGTGGTTCAAATCTACCAGCTGCTCCATGGGAGAAAGATGAGCAATTTCCTTCCACACTATTTACAGCTTTAAAAGCCACTGGAGGGTCAGCCACGCACCAGTTCTGATACACAACAACAACAATGGCACCCAGGGAGCTCTGTGCTGTAGTCTGTAGGGAACTGTATTGCGAACCCAAAATGCTGCCTCTCCGGCAGTCTGAATCCATCAGAGGGCCCAGGGGAGAAAGATGTGCAATCTTCTCCTGTGGGGTTAGAGCCTCTGAAAACTCACTGGAGGGTCAGCTCTGTGTTGCTCCCAACTCAATGGCCATGAGAGAAACCGAACAGCAACTACATCTACTCGACGGATTGACCTTTTTACGATTATCCTCCATATCTTACAACAAATTTTCACTTAAAGTCTGCTTTTTTTTTTAGCATCACAGCAATATATATGTATTTTCTGTTTTATACCACTGAGATATGTGTACACACACATATACATATATGGGTTTTTTTTAAATTAAAAAAATAAAAAACAACAAAATCCTCTGGGGGCTGGGATCTCTTATTAAAGGTTGCTTTTAATGATAATTAAAATCACCACTTCAAGTCTCTTTTGGTTATGCAATATTTTCTCCATCCTTTTACTTTCCATCTATTTGTGTCCACTTTGGTTTTAGGAGAGAATGACATTGGTCTATTTTCCCTAACCTAATGAAGTCCAATGACAGATGTGTGTGAGCCACTAAGGGGCTAGTTCACCCTGTGGTCAGCAAGCTCCTTCCTTCAGAAACACTCTCAGCACGCCAACATCAGGCTGTCACAGGGAACTGTGGCTGTGAACACTGCTTGCTATTTCAGGATTTAGTGTGACTCGATAGGCTATCTTTTAGGTCTGGAAATGCTCAGAATCTTTTCCCATATAAACAATGGTTATTGCTTCTTCACTTCCTGCCATTTTGGCTTATACAAGGTTCCACAGGAACACTCTACTTTTGGATGGGAGGGGAAACCTGTATTAGGAATGAGAAAAATTCTCCTGGGTTAGAAAAACAAGAACATGGAAATTAATAAAAATCACATTTAATAAAGTATCTAAGTAAATTTACAACATCCATCCCATCCTTCACATCTGATCCAAAGAGCTCTCTCTGACAGATAGGGGTCTTATTTACAGCTAAGAATACGAAGGCTTAGAGGGACTCAGTTGAGTACATAATTAAGGGCACATTTCAGTATTTTTTTCCACTTAAAAAGATTTTGAAGTACCGGAACTACTGATATAAAAATCTATGACAATTCATAAAAAGAGAGAAAAAAAAGAAAACCCAGGACAGAAATGCTGACAAATGAGAAAGAATTAATTCATTAATTTGCACAAGTTGCCAAAAACTTGGGTAATTCTGGAGAATATGACACCAAAATTAAGAGTGCTTTTGTATAAACACACACAATTCCTCTAACCATCACAGTAATTTAAGGAAGGTCAAGAATGGATGATGCTATTTCTAAAAAAAAAAAATGTTTGGAATAAGTCTATAAGACATAAAATGAAAATTTAATCAGTATTAAGGAGGGATTCCTCCCAATGATAACCATAGATGTATTTTTTTAAAATAAGCCTTACTTAGGTCTTCTAAAGATGTTTCCATACTGGCAGCAGGCAAGACCAACTGTTGGTGTATATACAATTGGCATTAGACTTTCAATATTATCTTGCAGTATTCTATAAAATAACTTCTCATTTCTTTCCTGTATTCCCATTATATAGATGTATCTGAAACGAAGCACAATAAACAATATTAATGCCAGCCTGCATCACAAAGTTTTGGTTTCTGAAAAATTAAATATTAAAGTCTAAAGTTGTGCCCCCATCCAAAATGTCAAAAGGAAAAAAAAATTACCTAAATGTTATCACCCCTGGGACTGAAAAATTAACAAAAGTAAAAATGCATTTAAATGGTAGGTAATGAGGAAGATGATGGTGATGAAGAAGAAAACAACGTAACTCATAACTAGTATTTTTTGAGCCTTTTCTATGAGCTAAGTCCTGTGCAAGGCACTGAAAACATAATGTGTAGGTTCTGCCCTAACAGAACCAACCTTGGAAAAAAAAGCAGACATGCAAGTGACGAAGTGGCATAAAGTGTCCTTCATCCAAATGCTTGCTAACCACTAGCTTCGTAATGTCAGGCACCATTCTGCAGCCCAGGGATATCAGAAGTGACCTCTATTCTCCATTCTCACAGTTCCTAACCTGTAACTTAAGACACTCTAACGTTGATAAGGTACAGGGGTAGCACAAAACAGTTGTTTCTCATTTGCTTGGATGATAGGTGTGGGGGAAAGATGATGAGTTTTATCTTAGACATAAAACAGAATAAACCTACTTCATAAAATAGAAAAATGAATTAAAAATAATTACTGATTCTTTAAGCCAGTAATACTATCCAGTTGTTTAAATGCTGGTTTCTGGAAACATTACAGTTAGTTCTAGTTTTTCATAGATCTTATATTTGTAAATTTGCCTACTCTCTTAAATTCATACTAAATTTACTTAGTATAAAAAAAATCACATTTATACTAGTGATTCTTAATTGTCTATTAATGCAGATAAGTATGTAAATAGAGCTGATTTCTGTTATGTGTGCCATCAGCTCTGTAGTCACTGAGAACACTGAATTAAAGAACACTGCCTACTCGTCATTTTCACTTCCTCTATCCTGAAGTTATTTTAGTTCCTCAGAAGTACTTCCTAACTTTGGAGCTGGTGCACACAATGCACTCTCTGCCTGGAGCACCCTGTCCAGGCACTGTCCCAAGTTCATGGTCTCAGAATGCAGCTCAGACAGATCATCTCATGTCCATTTTTCATCCACCTCTCACCTCCACTAAACACACACAGTTCTCCTAAGTTTGGTCTCATTTTGTAATCTTTGTAATTCTCATTCCACTTTCTCTGTCTCAGATGATCCTGAATCAGGTATATATCGCCTTATAATCTTATATATTTCAAGGAACTCAGGAAAAAATCCAAACTAGACCAGGATTACGCTTTTCTTCTCTAGGGGGGAAAAAGTGAATGGTACCAATACAAAGAAGCTCTTCAAAGCCTTTTCTTACCACCTTTTTAACCAATCTTTGTTCAGCTGCTTCTTACAGCTACATAGCTTTTCCGAACTTTTATCAATTTCCTTGACAGCTCTAACCTTAGCAAGTCTACAGTCTTCATACTCTACTTTAAAAAGAAAACAGTCAAGGCTACCAGGCATGAAGAGCTTCTACAGTCTCTGCTCCATCTCTCGGAAACTTATCCTTACTTACACCGGTGGTTGTGTACTGTTGAGTCAAAAGCGACCCATAGCTAACTCTCCAGCAGGTTTTCAGAGGCAGTTTAATTGCACGCAAAGAGATTGCCCGTCCTTCTCCCGTGGAGCAGCTGGTGGTTTGAACCACGTGCCTTTGGGGCTGCAGCATAGACTCTTGGCACTAGGCCACCGGTGCTCCCATCCTTACTTACATCTGTATTCACTTTCTTGTTCCTACTTCAGAGAATGCCCTTCTTCAAGGTCAGCTTCTCCATCTCTGTGCTGACCCTATATGCCTTTTCCCTTTCCCTGGAATTTGAAACGATCCATTTTCCCTTCTCCCAGACTTACTTCTCACAACTAAATCCACTTTCAACTTCCTTCCAAGCACAAATATACTCCCCTAAACCCTAATCCTAACAACACGCCCAAAGTATATGAGGTGGAACTTGGTTTTGCTTCATTTTTGGCATGATGTAAGGAGAGGTTAGTCCATGGAGAGGGACATCAATCATGCTTGGAAAGGTGGAGGGTTGGAGAAAGAGATGAAGACCACAGACGAGATGGACTGACACAGTAATTGCTGCAATGGGCTCAGGTGTGTCAAAGATGATGTGGATGGCACAGAACAGCACAGGGTTCAGATCTCTTACAGGGTCGCTATGAGCTGCACTCCACGTGATGGTACCTAACAACAACAAGCCCTGATCCCACTTTACCTACTATTTAAGCTCTTTCCTCCCACTATAACCCATGCTTCCCTCTTCCTCCATTCAGTCCTCAACATACTGCAACCTCCTTTGGGTTTCATCAAAACCACTCTCACAAGTCACCAATAATCTCCTATATTTAGCCAACCCAACAGTGCTTTTTAGTTATTTAGCTTGAAAGCTGTACTCAGAATATTTTCTCTTATTTGCCTGCTACCTATAATATAATGCTAAATCTCAGCTCAGGAGTCAGAGCTTCCAGGAAGTACTACCGGGCACCCTACATTGGGCAAGGTGCCATTCTTCATGCTTTCAGAATATGTAGCCTACATGCATCTTCCTCTCACTGTACTACCGTAATTTAGAAGACAATCAAATCTGACTTTCTGATGATGGGACCCTCAACAGCGGGCCTGTGTGGAGGTGGGGTGACCAAACCTTCTAGTTTGCCTGAGACAGTGGGTGACACCTCTTTTTCATTACTTAAAATGCTACAGATTGGATAATTAAATTCATTGGCTGGTACAGCAGCACGCATACAGTGGTTGCTCAATAAGAATTGTTAAATAATCTGGATGCAAATTAGAAAGTATTCTTTCCTTCTGAGTTCTATTCAAATATGACCAGTTCTGTGATTTTAAGCATAAAATACTGACTTTGGCTAAATTTTACTACAATGAACAAAGGTGTAGTATTTACTAAAGGAAACACAAATTTCATTATAACAATTAGTCCTCTGAGACTAACACAAGCATCATCTTGAGATTGTGTATTTCTTATTAACACACTCCATTTCGCTGATGAGAACACCAGTAAAAAGCTAAACATAGAATCACTTCTTACTTTTCCAAAGGGTCACTCATTTTGTTCAAGTTTCTATTGAACCGTAAGGCTTGAATATCTTGCGTCTCTATTTTAGGAGGTAGTAGTCCTTGAAGGCCAAGCATTTGTCGTTCCTGTAATGTAAATGCCATTCCCTAAAGAGAAGAAATAAAGGGATTAGTGATTATTACTTACTAGAGTAACAATAACTCTGTGCTCTAAAATCCAGCTTAAAGGCAAATTTTTTTTAAAAAGAATCAATGGAATTGCTTCTTGCCATTTCCCCCCCTCAGGACTGACAACAGTTTATAAGACCGATACAACCCAGTACTGATGAGAGTGGTAAAAGGTGCTCTCTCATACCACTGAGAATGTAAGCAGGCTAAGATTTTTTGCATGATAAATTTTGAAGTACATTTAATTTTTTTTTTCAGTTCCCATTTTTTAATAACATGGCACAGTTAACATTACACAAGAAGTCTCCGCCGATGAAAACATGCTGAAGATTCAATCGCTGCACTTCTCTTTTCACGTAGGGTCTAGAAAGGACTTTATTACATACAGGACAAACAACAAAAAGGTCTGTATAGAACAATCTCTTTATAATACTGAAAGCTACCATTACAGTTTCCAGTGTATATATTCCTCAGATATTTTTAAATTTTTAAAATTTTATTTTAATAATTTTAATGAACATTTACAGAGATTTTGGATTTCCATTCATTCACTGTTGCACAGATATTTTTATTTTTTAGTTGTTATCTTTGAAGTGCATTTAATTTTTAAATGCACATACTCTAAGCCAAGCAATGCCACTAATTAATAACCTGTCTATGAATTAGTCATACATAAAATAAAGAGGCTTTATATAGAGTCTAATGATAGTACTATCATTAGTTCTCCTGACTGTCAGAAATTAACTACAAGTCTATCAATTACGGTATAGTTAAAGACCCTGCCGCGTGTTCAGATCATGTAATACCAGCCACAAGTTAAAAATGGCAGGCAGTGAATACATTTATAAGTATGCAGTAGGAAGGCTTCCAAGACACACAGTTCAAGATTTTAAAAAGTTGACAATCGTAACTTTCATTGTTTAGCCTTTTATGTTTAGAAAATCTATACAAAAGAAATCACAATCACATGCTATAATGACATTCATGAATAAATTATAAGTCAACAGAAAAAACTGTAGAACTGGAGAGGGCGTCTCTCTAGAAAGGAGTTTACTTCTGAGCAAAGGGAGAGGAGCAAACAGGGACACACGATACTTAAAGGAAAAAACTAGTCTGTATCAAAAAATAATTTTTAAAAAATTTCCTTAAGTGCAACAATGAGTGAATGGAAATCCAAAATCTCTCTAAATGTTCATTAAAATTATTAAAATAAAAAAAAAATGAGCTCAAGGACATGAGAGATGAAGACAGCACAACACAGGGCAGGGGTCAGATCTGTTTTCCACAGGGTTGTTCTGAATGACAGTGGACTCAACTGCATCTAACAACAGAACAGCAAGAACCAAAATGACTGCGTAAGTGGCAAATGCAAAGTCACAGCTACTTAAACTGCAAAAGAATGATACTGAAGGGAGCTCTGGTGGCCTAGTGGCAAGAAGCTGCACTGTAATCCCCAGGGTGCATAGTTCGAATCCACTGGAGAAGGAGGGGCAATCTCCTCCTGTGCCAGCCAGAAGTGATTTGACAACACACAATAAAAACAAAGAAAATATGAAATAAGAACAAAATAAAATAAAATGAATAATTATATTGAAACTTAAAAAAATAAATAAATGAAAAAAAAAATTCCTGTATTTAAAGGGAGCTCTGGTGGCCTAGTGGCAAGAAGCTACACTGAAATCCCAGAGACGTGCAGTTTGAATCCACCATGCTCTGTTGGAGAAGGAGGGGCAATCTCCTCCTGTACAAATCAGATCCGATTTGACGGTACAACACAAAAAAATAATAAAATAAAATTTCCTGTATTTAAATTCATTTAGATTCTTTTTTTCGCTTATGACTCATAGCTACACTATGTACAACAGCCCTGAATGCTGCTCTGTTCTGAGCCATCGTTACCGTCTCTGACACACCGACCCCAGTCACTGAATCAATTCATCTCATCGAGAGTCTTCCTTTCTTGCGCTGCCCCAACACCCTTCCAAGTATGATGTCCCTCTCAGTATGTCAATGAAGCTTCACAATCCTTGCCTCCAAGGATGAACCTTGGAGGTCAGTTTGTTCTCCTGGCAGTCCATGGTATATTCAATACTCTTCTCCAGCACCACACCTCAAAGGCATCAATTCTCTATCCTCTCTAGTCACTGTCCAGCTTTCTGACGCATAGCAAGTAACTGCGAAGACTATGGCCTGGATTAGGTGCACCTTAGTCTCCAGATTGTCATGAGGTAGGCCCATCTATAAGCAGACATCATTGCTATGCAGTACTCTGGAAAGGTATCTGACAATAGATTTTCTCAATACAACTTGTCTTTTAATTTCTTCCCTATCCCTTTATTTCAAAGTTAAATTTTTGTTTGTTTTAGTGAAGATTTTCAAAGAATTGGTTTCATTCTTCGTTCATGATTTATTGACTACTGGTACCAAGGGTGTTGACTGTGGATCCAAGCCAAGATGAAATAGCTGACAATGTCAATCTCTTCTCTATCTAACACGATGGTGCCTACTAGCTGGGTGGGGAGGATGTTCGTTTTCTTGATGTTGAGGGGTCTTTTATTTGTCCTGTCTTGTAACTTATCAGCAAAGCTGCCTTTCTTTGACTTGAATCCCAGCTTGTCTAGTATAAACAGCTTTACCTGAATGCATGTATGAAAAACAAGCAAATACAATTATTGAATATGGCAGCTACCTGAAGTGATGAGTAACAAGGAAGGTAAACAACAAGCTAATAATCAAAAACCTTAAAAAGAAAAACCTAGGGAAAGATGACTGCAGAGGGCTTTGAGGAACTTCAGTGCAGGAATCACCTATTTCGATAGGACTGTGGGCGAGCAGAGGGAAAAATTCTGAAAAGGTGTGAAGGGCCCATCCCTGGCTAACCTTGAGGCTCTGTGCAAACAGGAAGTGTAGCTGTAAAAGGCTTTTCTCAGAGGCTAAGAAATATATAGGAAGTGAAATCAAAAGCGTCACTCTTGCTTCCTTTTTCCAACTGCAGGAAATGGCTAAAGTGAAAAAGCTTAAATTTATGCTTAAATGAACTTAAAAATGTTTCACCTATAATCAGTTAAATGCGTTGGCTACCCAAGGTTTCACTGTCTATCTTCATTTCGATTTAAGGGACACTTGAATGTGTTTTATTTATAATGCAGGGCAGGAGGTAAAAATCACTAGTAAAGAAATCATTTTATGCCATCAGTCTTGACGTCAATAGCTGAATAAGTTCTTCTTCCACCAATAAGCATGTCTCCCGGCCTCTCTCTGCCTGAGCTACGAGGTCCCGGTTTCTGTGGTAGAAGTTCACCTCCTTCAGTTGGTCCTGCGAGATCTTCTTGGCGGTTTTCCTTTAGCCACATGCTGTTTCTCCGCATAAGTCAATGATAAAACCCCCCTCAGTGGACTTCTGAACATGCAGATAAGCCAGCCAGGTGGAAACAAATTACCCTATCTATTCCTTTTCTCTAATGTGCAGTCAGAGCGATCTGCCAGGGACTAGGAAATACTACCAAATATTTTTGCATAGTAGTGTACAATGTCAAAACTGGAAATTATACTGAGTTATAAGGTGGTGGTGGTGTTGCTTGCCTTTCAGTCGGGCACGACTCATAGCAACCCTATGAACAAAAAGCCTGAAGCCCCTCTACAACTACCAACATTTAACAAAGTTCATAGAGTTTCTGGAGGCATGTTGTTTAGGAACTGGATGCCACTCCTGCTTTCAAAGGTTTCTTTGGTTACGGCATGCTAAATTAAAACATCACCTGGAGAGAATAACAGATCATATTTACATAGATTTTTACAACACGTGAAACAGATGTGCTCTTTATTTTTTCTCTTCCACAATCTATATCAGGAAACTGGGGTCCAAAGAAGTGACTGCTGCTTACAGGCCATAAAGGGTCAGTAAATAGGGACTGTATACTATAATACAAACTGAAGCAGCACTGTGGTGAGTTACCCGTCACATACTTTTCTGAGTAGTAAAACTCACTGCCATCAGAGCTGACTAACTCAGGTGACCCTCCACAATGTCTGAAGCTGTAAATTGTAATGGGAGGTGACTGCTCATCTTTCTCATTGATGCATTCAAACCGCTGGAGACTTCATGCCTTCTGGTTGCCAGGGCGACATGCTACATAGGAGGAAGCTGGGCTCTTCCCTCCTGTTAACATGCACAGCCTCATAAACCTGCCGCAGATAGCAGGAAGTGCACAGAGTGGCAAACAACATACACAATGGTATCTATACAACAATTTTAAAAGGGAATCATTATAAAATGAAAACCAGTGGGACTGGTAGAAGCACAGCGACTATTCTTTTATTGCGGTTGTTGTTGTGTACCAGAGCGTTGGAAATGACCCTCCGGCAGGTTTTCAGAGGCAGTTTATTCACACAGGAGACTGCCATCCTTCTCCTGCAGAGCAGCTGGTGGCCTCGAACAGCATGCCTTTGGGGTTGCAGCACAGCTTCTTGCCACTAGGCCATCAGCTTCTCAATATTATTTATGTAATAAGAATCAGAAGAAAAATGTGAAGAAACTTAACTAGTTAAGAATTGTTGTTATAAAAAAAAATGTTGTTATAAGGGGAGCTCTGGTGGCCTAGTGGTAAGAAGCTGTACTGCAATCCTGAAGGTGCATGGTTCAAATTCACCAGATGCTCCACTGGAAAAGGAGAGACAATCTCCTCCTATGCCAGTCAGATTCGATTTGAGAGTACACACACTTTAAAAAAAAAAGAAAGAAAGAAAGATTGTTGTTATAATTCCGTACTGTCAAGTCAGGGAAGACTCAGAGCTGATCCTTCAGTGGGTTTCAGAGGCAGTAAATCACATGTGAGGGGGCTGCTCATTTTTCTCCTTTGGGAAGAACTAGCTTATCACCTGAGGAGCTCACTTGATGCAGTTCTTAGCAAATCACAGGGCTAACCAAAAGGTTAGTGGTTTGAATCCAGGAGGAAGATAGGTAAACCTCTTCTTCTAAAAATTTGCAGCCTCAGAAACTCAATGGAGGGGCACCAAGGTGAGAAGTGACTCTATGACAGGGAGGTTATTGGTTTGTTTTAAATTAGAGTATGAGACTGAGAAAGCAAAAATAAAAATCAACAAACCAACCAACAAAACCACAATCCCAAAACCACAACCAAAAGCTCAATCAACAAAAATCCTCACAGACCTAAGAATCTTCAAAACGTAAAAGTCTTAATCCATAAAGCGAGTGGGGTTATTCATTCTCTCTTGAACACCCTCCAATTAATGGTTTGCACAAGCACTTGCTCTTTTAGTTCCTCTTGTCTACAGTTCTGTTCTTCAAATCTGGCTAAAGAGACCAGATTTGACCTGACATAAATCATCATCTGTAGTAATAACTCTTCACAAACTTCCCTCTTAAAAATGGTGATGTTTTTTCAGAGGAGATGTTCTCCAATGACAGGGAATGAATCGTAAAAACAGAAAACAGAGGTGGCAGGAGGTTTGAGAAATACTGGTTGATGGCAATGATTCCATTTCTTTTCCTTTCAGAGTGACTCCTATAAACCTATCCACCACATCAGCCTCATTAAAACCTGACTCCTATAAACCTAACAAGTGTTAGTTCCTCTCCTGCATATCTCTCTGCTTTCAGGCTGGAAGAATGGGAAGAAAAGGGAATGAACAGGTAGGAGAATCAGCCCATCTTGTAACCAAGCAACAACTTAGAGCTTTACAACTGTAATCATCATAAACCCCACCCTCAACACTTGTCAGACTTCCTGTTGAAAAATACCGTCTACACTGTGGAAATGTAAGACAAAACATTAGTTAAAATAACCTCTAAAAACTTAGCTGTGTGCTGAAAACGAAGATCCTATTATTTCCCCATGCCATTATTATTTAGCTCAGTATTTACTAATGCTCATTTTATACTTCATAGCACGTTTCCTCTAAATCTTTTAAAGGCTTTTAGAAGTCAATGCGAGACATATATATTCTGCAACAGCCATAAAAATAATTCAACACTAGAGCACTCCTGCAGACGTGATGTGAGTTTGTGTCAAGAAAAAGAAGGAAGGAGGCAAACAATTCAGGAGACGGAGTCCATTTAAACCATGTACTCCTCTAACTTCAGTAAGAATAGGCACCATACAGACAACTTTTCACTAACAAAAGAGAATTCAGGGAGATTCAAGAGCTTGTTTAGACTTCTGAAAATGGTTAAGTAGGATGAAATTGCATTGAAAAGAATACAAATGTTAGTTAAGTGGCAAGATCACATCAGATGGCTTATGTGGCTCTGATAGAGGAATTAGATCCTAGCACATTTAAGATACAATTAGAAATGAAATACACTCAACAATGAAAATATTATTTTTAAATTTTTATTTTTTAAAAAATTCTTTTTTTTTTTAATCCACCCTCTCCCCTTTATTGGTCATGTACCGTTGAGTCAGATAGTTATTCACAAAACAGCATAAGTTAAATATAAGATAATCTGTGGTTCTCTGGCTCATTTTTCCAGTGTATTTATGCATAAATATACTTAACATGATGTCAGATGGAAATCTGAATGAGTTATGACCATTCTGGATAGCTTCAGGCTGCCTAATACACTGAGAAACAGTTTACAATGCTTTAACTTTATAGATCTTCTTACAGTCGTTGATATACACAGAAAAGTCAAAACATTACCCGAGTTACCTTGTAATTATTAAGGTGGTGGCAAAGCACAATTTTAGCAGCTTAGAAATGATGATCGAGGGGGCACTGAAAAGTGCTCCTTCAATGAATCTATGGAATGTTATGCATATTTCAGAAGGCTGGAATGCTACATTTTGTCTTCTTTATACAACCACTGTTAATACATTTCCCATGATCCTCCTGAAACCCATTTAGAAACAGATGTGGGTTATACATTTCTTATAAACCCTAAGTATCCAAAGAGCTGGTTTTAAAGAAATTACTTTCAAAAGGATAGAAATAAGATCAACATATTTACCAAATGTCTACTATACCCATGGCACTATGAAAGATACACAGATCCCTGCTCTTAAAAATACCCTGAGATACAATAACAAATGATTCAAGTCCATTAAAGTTTAAACATAATACATGATTTCAGTAATAGGAGAAGTAGAAAAAGCAGCATATATATTGATTTGTTGCCAGGAAGGAAAAAATTGCTACAGAGTTTTGTAGAAAAGAGTAACTTTCTATCTGTGGCATTACAAAACCACAGTGGTAAAGCAGCAATGGATTTTGAATGAGAATTGCCCCTTGAAAAGCAACAAAGATTTGAGGAGGTGAGGAGAAACCAAGGGAGATGACTGTCTCACTTAATGCACCAACTAACTGCTCGCTGAATTCTCATTCTGTGTCGAGGACCAAGGATGGAAACATGAGATAGTGTGTGACCCTTGATCAAATTCTCCTTTGCAGGTCTGAACTGCTCCAAAAACTTACAATACTCTGCAATCCCAGAGGTACACGGTTCAAATCCACCAGATGCTCTGCTGGAGAAGGAGGGGGCAATCTCCTCCTATACCAGTCAGATCTGATTTGACGGTACATGTAAAAATAATACAATAAAAATTAAAAAAAATTATAAATAAAAACTTACAGTACTAGGCAATTAATTATTCCCTTCCTCCACACTGGAAAGGAAATGAGACTGCAGATTCTCACTGCTGACTATTGTTTTAAAATAAATCATATCTTTATCTGAAGGTGCCTTCACCAAATAGAAAATTTCATGTGTTGCAAAAAGCACAAACATGCAATCAATGCTCGCAAGCTTCCTAGTAAGAGTCACATTCATGACTTATCAAACTTTTTCCAGGAAAAGGTAAAAACGTATGTAAAAAACATTAGCATTACTGACCTTATTTGTTCTTGGATTCAACATCAGAGGTTTCCCCTTCTCTTTTCTGTGCATATGGCGACATATCAGCACGCAAGGCCGGGAAACAACTCTTAACCTGGATAACATCATTTCTTTCACCTGAGGAAAAGCAAAATGGATGAGTATCAGATTTTTTTTTTTATAGGTTACCACAGAACAAAAGCTGTGACTCATGTTTAGAGTATCAGATTTTAAAAACATACTTAGAAACGTATCTTTCCACATGTGAAAAAGATTTTCTTTCAGAAGAGATTTCTGTCAGCCTATTAATAAATGGTGCTGGAACAACTGCTTGAACTCTAAAGAATGAGCCTAGGGCCAGACCGCACACTGCAGACAAAACTGAACTCAAAGTGGATCGGACTTAGGTAAACATAAGCACTAAAACGTCAGCACAATGCATCCTTTGAGGTGGTGCCCCAAGTATGAACAGGAAGGGAAAGTAAACTGGACTTGATCAAAATGAAAAACCTGTGTAGCCTGAGGGATATTAACAAGAAAGTGAAAAGCCAATTCAAAGAAGAGGAAAAACAAAACAAGACCTGGAAACCTTATTAATATTTAGAACATTTCAAAAATTTCTTAAACTCAACAAGAAGACAATCAACTGAATTCAAAAACAGGCAAAAGACTTGACAGATCCTTTTCCAGAGAAGATGTGATGGTGTTCAATATCATCAGTGAAATGCAGCTCAAACACTGAAATGCCACTTTACCCATTAAAGTCTCCTCCTTCCCCAAACACCCCACTGTTATCAAGTCTGTTCTGACCCCTTGGGCCCTCAAGGACAGTAAACTGCCCAAGAGGCTTTGCAAGGCTAAATCTTTATGGAAGCAAGTTGGCCGTATTGTTATCCCTTCGAGTGGCTGGTGAGTTTCCACCACTGGTATTGTTTTTTTTTTGTTGTTAGCAGCCCAAGGTTTTAATCACTGTGCTACCAGCCTTCTTTTCCATCATTCTCTGTTGTTAGGTGCCAGAGACAACTATGACTCATAACAACTCTGGAGAACAGATCTGAACCCTGCCCTGTCCTGTGCCATCCTCACCATCTGATACATTCGAGCCCAATGTTACTGTCACTGTGTCAATTTCATTGTCCATTTCATTGAGGGTCTTCTTCTCTTTCTTGGAGCCACCACTTTTCCTGCTATGGTGTCTCCCCAAGAACCAGCCTCCTCTAACAACATTCTTAAAGTAAGTGAGTCAAAGCTGCACCATCTTGCTTCCGAAGAGCACTCTGTTTGCACCTTCTCAAAGATCCATCTATTATTTGTTCTCTTGGAAGTTCATGGGATATTAAGTACTCATCTCCGGCATCACAGTTTATCCATTCTTCTTCTATCACTTTGTCATTGTCCAGCTCTCAGAGGCACAGCAAGTGACTGAAGAGACTATGGCTTGGACCAGGCATTCTTCAGTCTCTAAACTACTCAGTCTTTAAACTAACATCCTTGCTGTTTAGGACTTTAGAGAGGTCCTGACAGCAGTATGACCAAGTATGACGTCCTTCTCCATGGACTGATCCCGCCTTGCACATGTCCAAAGTATGTCAGATGAAGCTTCAGAATCCTTGCCTCCCAAGAGCAGCCTGCCTTCACCCTCTCCAGGACAAACTTGTTTGTTCTCCTAGCAGTCTGTGGAATATTCAGTAATCGTCTCCAGCACCACAGCTCAAAGGCATCAACTCTCCTATCATCCCTACTCATTGTCCAACTCTCTGATGCATAGCAAGTAATTGCAAAGATCATGGCCTGTATCAGGCGCACCTTATTCTCCAGAGTGACATCGTTGTTCTTCAGTACTCTGGAGAGCTTTTTTTTACTGACAACAGGCAAAAAAGTGGAAGACATGAAAATGTCCATCAACAGGTAAACGACCAAAATGTAATACACACACAATGGAGCATTATCCTGCCATACAGGAATGAAGTTCCCATATTTTCCACCACAAGGATTAACCTTGAAAACGTGATGCTAAGTGAAATAAGGCAGACAAGAAATAAGTATGATTCCACTTACATGAAATAACCACAACAGAGAAGTCTATGGACACAATGGAAAATCAGTGGGTTTCAGGGGATGAGGAGCAAGTATTCCTTTATTATTTGCTCATTTCATGCAGGATGCTATTCTCTTTAAATCCTTAAGTATTAACATTAAAATTATAGGACAGACTTAGCTAATAATAAAATATCGCAATTGAATGCTAGAAAGCGAATGGTAAAGTATGTCTGTTTGATAACCATAATGCAAATTGTCACAACTGAGTTTTAAAAAAATATTATTTAAAAACAAAAACATATGGGGGGGGAAATAAAAAAAAACAAAAACAAAAACATATGAACAAAAGTTCAGTGAGCAAAAAAATACTTCTTGGAAGAAGTGAGATGAAGACTATGAAACATAGATGAAGAAGAGAGGTTTGTCTGATGCTAAGGAGGGGGAAAGGAATGGTATTCTGAATGACTTGAAAATAATGAAGATTTCTGGGGAGTGATGGGGGAGTTTAAGGGATTTCTGACTTTTTACAGCTTAAAATTCCCAGTGAATATTACAGCAAGTATCACTAAAGCCTGTTATTTTTTTAAGGGGGAGTGGCATTCAGAGAATTTAACTGTGTTGGTCAAGGTCATGCAACTAATAGATGTTACGATCCAAGTCTAAATCTGGAACTCATGCAGCCATGCCGCTGACCCTTTCCACTCCAGCACACAGTTACAGACATAAACAGAAAGGAGACAGCAAAGGCCTCTCCAAGTCTGTAACACTGGGAAGAGGGACTTGTAGCCCCTCCTGCATTTTGTCTTTCTAGGTTTGTTTGTTTTAAAAAATCTTCAATTAAATAAGGCTGGCTCGAGATAGGGCAGGGTTCAGAGCTGTTGTACGTGGGGTCGCTGTGAGTCGCAAACAACTTAGTGGCACATAACAACAACCACAACAACAAAGAAATGTATTACAGGCCTAGTGGTAAAAAAATGCACTGCAATCCCAAAAGCACACAGTTCAAATCCACCAGCTAGCTGCTCCATGGTCCTGTGCGATTAACAGCCTCTGAAAAACCCACTGGAGGGTCAGCTATGGCGCAGTTCTGATTCAGTGGTACTCAACAAAAACACACCAAACTTGTTTTTAAAAATCTTCAACTAAAGAAATGTATTACAGTGGAGTTAAAGAATTTATTTTATGGATCTACAATGATACCAAAAGTAGCTCAATCGATTAAATTTACTGACGTGGACAATATTATTTGCTATTCTATTAAATAAACTTAGGTTCCTGAAAGACAAAGACACACACACACACACACACATACACACACACCCCACAAACACACAGGTTTGAGTGGTGGCCACTAAATACCATGGGGTCAGTTCTATGTATTTCCATATATTATTTCAGTCTAGAGGTCAAACTGGACTTTAAATGCAGGGAAGGAAAATAAAATACCCAAAAACAAACCCTAGAGATACACATCTTTTGAGAAGGGCTTGAAAAGAGTTTGATTTCTATTCAGCATCGCGGCCCCTGGAGGACTTTATGCAGGGGAATGGCCGAATTTTGGGTTCTGACATGATCCTTCTTGCCAGTGTGTGGAGTGAAATGACAGTACAATGGTGGACCTCTGGGCTCTTCATGAACAATGTACCACTCACTGTACTATGAAAATCAATCTTTCTTGTGAGTCTTCATTAATAAAAAAAGAAAGGAGGGATAAAACCCCCGGTCTGAAGAAGGGGCACCTGGGGGGATGCCTCTGGATGTGAAGAACTGGAATATTCTGGGGGAGAGACCTTGTACACACGCGTGTTTCTACAGTTGATGTCAGAAGGGACCTGGGCAAAGGAATGTGAGTCACTGGCATAATTTTTGAGCACTGGCAGGTAATTGAGGCCATGAGCAAAGATGAAGTCATGTAGAGTATGGTGAGCTTTTAAGACAATACTAATGCCACTGCCTGGACCCGACTCCAGACCAAATGCCATAACTCCCACCCTGTACCCCCGTACCCTTCCCCTTCCGGGCTCCGAGGGGGCAGGGGCGTAAGCGTCTTGAGTCTGCTGATGCATACACAGCCAAGTCTTCCAAAAGTCACCACTCTCCACCCTACCCCACCCTCAGCCTTTCCTCAGACACACCTCCACCACCTCCGGAATGAAGTCAGCTCTGACTAGCGCTAACTCCTCCTCTGCCCTTCACTTACCAAAGACAGTTTCCCTTCCACTGAAGTTAAACAGCCTGTCACCCCCTCAGTCCGCCATGTAATCCATTCCCTGCCTCTGTTCCCGGCTCAAGCTGTTTCCTCTGGGGTTCTTGTTCTCCACCCTACCCCTGTTCACAGGCTGTTATTCCACCCTCCAGGGCCTAGATTCTCATGTGTTTCCTGAAGCTTCTCCAGACACATCTGTGGTCTATAACACTCTCCTTCCTCCTACAGTACCATTCCTTAGTGATTATGGACCTCTCATTTTGTGCTCAGCAGAAGTAAATAAACATCACTTTAGAAAATGTGATCAAATAAGGTGAAGCCACTGTAAACCTTCCTTGCCATCCTTCAGAGGTAAGTTGCTAGAATCCTCCAATTCTTCAACTACCCCAGGCTAAGCAGAGCACATTTAAAGATGTAGATGATGGGCCAGATCAGAGAATAAGGGGCCCGGGGTTCAGTCTCACTCTGTACCTACACCTAAGGAAGCAAGCAGTTCATACTTAGGCCTCAACAAAACTGTGAACCTTCCTCACAAATAAAGGATATTTTACAAGAACTTTTGGTAAGTTATTCCTGGACACTGAAACAGTCCAGTCTGCCAGCAACTTGGTTGAAATTGTCTTCCTATTCCAGCATCACTTCCCTCAAGAGCCTCTGAAACAAGACGTGATTTCCTGTCTCAGGCTATTTGCATGAGGCTTCTGGTCTCACCAACATGTAAGACAACCATGGACAGTGACAGCAGTATCGTGGTGTTAGACATGCCAATGTCTACGTCTTCAACGATGCCAACGAAGCATCCTTTCTATTAAACAGTCATAGAAAGAACCAAGCTTTAAGTAGTCAAAGAATGTCAGGAAACAAAATGGGAAGACTGCAG